GGAAGAAAGAGGGAGGGTCTCATCCTCCGGGAAACGTGAGCGCGTTCCAGGAAGTGGGTGGCGCTCGCTGGCTAAGCTGGTAACAAACGGCACCTTCTCCCTGTCTTACAACTTCTGAGCGTCAGGACTGCGAATGCGATGTCAGAAGAAGCCTCAGATACCCCCAGTCTAACTCCTTCCATTCTCAGCTAAGGAGAGGGGTTCAGGGAGCCCAGACGTTGGGCCTGGGCTCAACACCCAGTGTTCATTGATCCCCACCGACAGACTCATTTTCCAGTTATTAGAATAAAACTTGCAGTTTCTATACCTGTATTTTTTAATGCTAACATTTTATGTTTAAATTTCCTTTGCAGATTTTTTTTTTCTCCTCAATGATGATGAAAGTGTAGCACTTTTACTTTTGAATTTAGGGATTAAGTATAGGTAGGGAATCACAAATGATCATTTCTCTTTCTCCCACAGCGTACGGCACTAGCGCTTTTCACATCCAGTAATTATTTTAATGATCCTTGACTTATTTTTAAAAGACAACACCAAAGACAGTAATACGGCCAAATGAAATGGTGCAGTTCGAACACACCAGTCTGGAAGGATTTCTTTCTTTTAGTCAATGGTAATCTAAATTACCCAGAGAAATCTAAAATTAGCAGACAGACAGGGGCCCTTGTGCCAGGCCTTTAAGGCTATACAAGTCTGCAAGAGGTGCTTCAATAAGAGCTTCTTTCTGACTTGAAATGATAAACAATTTTCTAACATAAGACTAATGAAATAAACCAGGCTAAACTTTATAAAGGAATGGTCTATATTAGCTTTCCACCTGAATGCCACAGACCTTAGTTACTTTCCTGACTTGAAATTTTTCCATCTCTACAGAATGGAAATGTCCTTTATAGTGACACCTGGATTATCTAAACCCCAGTGTGTTTTTTACTGAATCACTGAATGTTTCTGTGACTGAGTAGATGGAATCCAAGGCCTTAGTCGCGTGGGCAGAGTGCCTGACCACTGAACGACATGCCTGTCTTCCGACAGCTTTAAAACCAGTGGGCTTTCCTACGTGGGAGTTGAGGGCCCTGAAAACTTGGGCGAGTTCTTCCTGTGGAGGAGGAAAAACTACAGGTGAGCGAGGTGGGGCGAGCCCGCCGACGGAGGCCAGCTCTGAGCTCAGACTTTGATGGCCATGGTCCAGAGCAGTGGGCAGTCCGTCTCCACGGTCACGACACCAGAGCCGTCGTAGGTGTTAGAAGTGCTGATCAGGGTGCCAAAGCCAAGCGTGCCGTTTGCTGTAGGGGGAAAAATAAAGATTACTGATAAGCAGCCTTGCTCCAGTGTAAAATGGCTTTGTCAACAGTTATACAACATCAAATGTATACTTCGATAGAAGATACATAAAAATAGAATAGGAAAAATAAATAGTGTTGGATTTTAGAACTGAAAATTTCTACAGCTGGCTACAGTTA